CTTAACTACCTTTACAGTTAGGAAGTTTTTCCTAATGTCTAACCTAAATCTCCCTTGCTACAATTTAAGCCCATTGCTTCTTTTTCCTGCATGTCCTGAGTGGGACGGGGGTGGGTCCAGGCAGTGGGATTGGGGGGAGGGAGGTCGAGGGAGTCAGTGGGTGTGTGGGGATGGACCAGGGGAAGCAGGGTGGAGGAACTGAGGGGGACAGGACTGGGACTTGGGGAGTCGGGGGGGCTGAGGGGGATGGGACAGGACTGGGATGGGGGGAGCAGGGTAGGGGCTGAGGGGAGCATGAATGGGACAGGGTAGAGAGCTGTGTAGAGTGGAGCGGGGCGGGGGAGACAATGGGGCTGGGCTGGGTTGAGGGGTTGGGGAGAGGGACAGGGTCTGGAGGAGATGAGACAGAGGGGAGCAGGACTGGAATGGGGGGAAGGTGAGGGGGTGGGACAGCAGGGGGAGCGATGGGGGTGGGATGATGGGAGAGGCTGAAGAAGAGATTTGGGGTAGGGCAAGGCTGAGGGCAGTGGGTTGGGGGGAGCAGGGGGATTGTGGGGGAGGCTGTTGGAACGGGGGCAGGGACTGAGGGCAGTGGGTTCGGGGTGGGAGGTACAGGGGGGACTGCGGGGGAGGTTGAGGGAACAAGGTCAGGGTGGGGGCTGAGGGCAGTGGGTCGGGTCTACACTGGCACCTCTCAGCATTGCTGTGCCGGGTGGCAGACCTGCGCCAGCGCTACCCTGGCGATGGAAGAGTCCTCAGTGGAAATGCAGATTTCATGACACAGACCCTCCTCGTCACTTCAAACCTAGCGCTGCTCTGGTCAGTCGCTAGGCTCTTGTCACTTTCAAACCCATGCAGGGTATCTGGCTCTTTTTCAGTTCTCAGGTTAAGAAAAGCCTTTGCATTTTGTGAGGGCTTCAGCATTCACTTTCCTACTTGACAAACTGTCTGCCTGACACATTGCTCCCAGGGCATTCATCTTTATTCATTATCGGCAGGTCCATCAGATTAACGAGCAACACGGGGAAGCAACACAATGGTGTCAAGGATTTTTAATTTTTCAAACCACTTTGGCCTCAACAGGGATTACAGCAAATCTGGACAGAGCAGATGGGTGTCAGGATGGGTTTGGGTATTTATTTATTTATTTTTTTAAGTGAAAATGTTTGGGTCTGAGCAAAGGCTGCAAACTTCCCTTTGGAAACCTCTGCTGATCTTTTGCCCCAGGGGCTAACGACAGCCTGGAATCCGGGACAGATTTCCACATCCATGCAGGGTGAGATGATTGGGGGGGGCGGGGAGGGACTGTGGGGGAGGCAAAGGGAACAGGGTCAGGGGGACTGAGGGCAGTGGATTGAGGGTGGAGGTACAGGGGGAGACTGCGGGGGAGGCTGAGGGAACAGGGTCAGGGTGGGGGCTGAGGGCAGTGACCTGCCAGGGGGCCAGGTGAGCCCAGCAGTGCTTATGTGGAGCGTCTCCCAGGAAGCATCCAGCAGGCAGGTCCCTCCCAGTCCCTCTGGCTCCTTCCTAGGGTCGAGTTGGGTCGAGGGGAGGGGGCGGGGGGGCTCTCTGCCGGAGTCTACAGGCCCCGCCCCGCTGCAGCACGCAGCGGAGCGAGACCTCCTCGCTGCCTCTCTGTGTGCCCGGGGCAGGGCTGCGCTCTGCAGGCTCCTGATGGCTGGGCGGCGGGCCCCGTGGGCTGGCGCCGCCGCGCCGGGAGCTCAGCTGCGCGCTGCCCCAGGGCCCAGGGAGGAAAGGTGAGTGGCGCCGGTGGCGCCGGCTTGCTGCGGTCTCCCTCATATAGGGTGACCAGACGTCCTGACCAATGTAAGGTTGGGACGCGGGACAAGTCCCCTAAAATCGGGACTGTCGCGATAATATCGGGACGTCTGGTCACCCTAGATGCTCCTGACACAGGAGATGGGAGGGCCTGGTCTGTGACCAAAGGGAGTGGGTGGGCTAATCCATCCTCCTCCCTGAAAATTACAGCATGTAGCAGAAACATCTCCTGTCACTCACCTGAGCAATTCACGGCAGCATCTTCCTTATGGTCACAGTTACTCTTATCCCAGGGCTTGGCAGGACAGTCCCAGAGAGATGACTCTGTCCCTCTGCAATTCAACGTCTCCACCCAGATGGGACCAGTCCCCTCACCAAATGCAGCCTCGCCCGGGGCAGATACAGCAGATCCACAGCCCAGTTGTTTACACACAACGTTAGCATCCGCCATGTCCCAGGAGTCATCACAAACTGTTCCCCAGGAGCCACGGTACCAAACCTCCACTCTCCCCGAGCATCTGTCCTCTACTCCCACGACACGTAACTTCTCCTGGTCTGGAAATGCAGAAACCTCACATGTTACTGGGACAGCTGGGAAAGTCCTCAGGGACCAAGAGGGAGACAGTGAGAAGCAGAGATACCTGTGCAGCTCGTAGAGTTCGGGCATTCAGGGTTCTGAGTTGGTTTTGCTTTTTTTCCTATGGAGAGAAAAAGCCGAGGTGAACGCACTGGGTTGTGTGTGTGATGTGGGAGTAGAATTTATCTGTATTTTCAACCCCTAATTTCAGCACTGTATGAACTGAAATGTGAACTCTGGGTCATTTCATACCAAATTAATTTGCTATTCAGCTGTTACTGAGACACACAGGCCAACATACACACAAACTTGTGGGGGATTCCAGTCTTGAACCAAACTGCACAGCCTGGGCCCATCTCTGATTGTTCATCCCAAAAGGATTAATAACCACAGAGCTGCCTAATGATGGTCTATAGGGAGAGGCTTTTCTTCGCTCTCACACTACCTTAGCGCACTGTGTAACACGGGTCTCTTTTATAATTAAATGATTAACTTCCATGTTTGTTGTTAATCAGAGAAATGCTTATTCATATAAAAGACTGTGAAAATATGTTTGCATCTTGTGTTAAGAATTTACATCTGCCTACACTGAGATGTGAACAACAACAAGTTCTATCCTAACCCTTCATTTAATTGAACACATCGCATACATGCGTGTGTGCACGTGCACATGCTGGTAGTTTCAGAATTACCAGTGCAAGAAATATGGGTCTCTTCTGCTCGGTTATCACATGACTTTGGATTCCATTGGTCTGATGGGCACTTCCAGAGGGAGCTGTGCTGCTCACTGCATGCAACGTGGTCCAGCCATGTGGGACCCTTTCCATATTCAGAGCCTTGTGCAATATATCCTCCGTCTCCACAGTTCAGCTGTTTGCAGACAATTGCTGCGGTGACTCCAGACATCTGATTGGAGCAAACACTGCCCCACGTCCCATTGTAGAAAACCTCCAGCCGTCCAGCACAGTCACTGTCGCTCACCAGCCTCAGATCTGTGAATTCTATAAGGAAATGCAAAAAAAGGGAATTGAAATCGTCTGAAATGAACTGGGGTGTGAAGAGTGAAATCCCAGCGATCACTAACTATCCTGTGCATCATTCTGCAGAAGCAACTGCTAGAGAACCACTCCAAGAATGAGAGACTCTTTTAGACACGACAGGCCCCTTAGAAATACAGTGGACATCTCTGGAAGGCCACCATTTACCAGCAGCTACATTCAGATTGTAATAGATAAAGGCCGGGAAGGATTATGACATTGGCACGCCAGATACCAGCTCTTGCCCAGGCTGCAGGCCTTAGCTGAGAACTGACAATCTTGTAGCTGGAGACCAGACCAGGTCACTTTTGCTCAGAACAGGTATTGGTGTTGTAAGAATGTATTTTGTGCTTAAACTCTACAAAATGGTGGTTAGTTGCTGCAGGCATTAATCTCACTTGTAATGTCTGTTGTCCATGATACAAGAAAATATGTAAGTTTTGCTTTATAACTGAAAATGCTGGCTCTGAACTTGTGAACTCAGGCACAGGAATCATCCCCCGCCCCCCATCCATCCCCGAGGACTATCAAAATCAGATGGGCCATCAAGGATCATCACAATATAAAGGATTGGTTAATGGCCTTATCGCACCCATGGAGCAGTACGTGCAGAAGGCTTCGTCCCATCGCTTTGAAGGCTGGAAGAGGAAAATAAAAATAGTATATATGAAGATGTTTCATCTTTTTGGCTGTTTGAACTGTGACAGGGCTAGAGACACCAAACTGAAGCCAGAGACCCCAAGGGGTTACCCCTGGGTCAGCGCTGAAGGACATTTGGAATTAGATCACTACAACTCTGTCACTCCTAGGATGTAAATGGTAACTCATTTGTGTGTAGATTTTTGCTTGCTTTAACCTGTAAATAACCCTTTTATTTCTTTTTTCCTAGTTAATAAACCTGTATATAGTTTATTACAGGATTGGCTACAGGCATTGTCTTTAGTGTAAGATCCAGGGTACCAACTGGTCTGGGGTAAGTGACTGGTCTCTTGGGACTGGAAGCAACCTGAATGTGATGTGATTTGTGGTGTAAATGATCAATTATAACTAAGTCCAGTTTGTCTGGGTGACAAGATAGACTGGAGAGTCTAAGGGGACTGTCTGTGACTCCATGGTAAGATAGATATAGTGATCCAGGACTAAGTTTCCTCTAAGCTGCGCGGCCATGTGTCCGCACAGCAGGCTATCAAGGGCCGCACAGGCACTCAGCCACAGGGGCCTGGACTGGAGAGGCACCTCTTCCCCAGCCCCGGAGTTGCTGTGGCCGGGGACTGGCGCCTCTCCCCTGGCCCCAGCCCTGGATCTGCCATGGCCGGGGAGAGGCCCTCTCTCTTGGCCCCAGAGCTGCCGCATCGGGGAAAGAGGTACCTCTAGGGGCTGCTAACAGGGAGTTTCGCGACTGAGTTCGGAAGGGGAGTGGGAAGGGGGCAAGGTTCACTTGCTGTTCTTTAAAACCTGGAAACTAAACTACAGTCAAAACTTCTTGATTTAAACAAAACCCTTTCATTAACTACATAGCTGCAGGAGACAATGCAGGCAGAAGCCCAGCAGCAGAGTGCGGGCTACCCAGTTTATTGCACTGAGTAGAGCATGTATGATTACCTGCCCTGTGGGCGGGTGGCGCATGTGTGCATTCAATGCAAGGAGCTCCTGGCCCTCAGAGACCACGTACGGACTTTGGAGGCCAGGGTGGCAGAACTGGAGGAGCTAAGGGAGGCAGAGGGGTGTTGATGAGGCTTTCCGGGACACTGTAGAATTGTCCCACCTCCGGTCAGACAGCCCCTGTGCTGTTGAGGAGGATGAAAGGCCCAGGGAAGCAGGGCAATCAACGGGAGCAGAGGGAAACCTTCCCATAGTTGGGACCCTCCTTCCAGATGGTGTTAGGGTATCCTCTCACACTGAGGATATCTCTCCTGGGGAGGGAATTCCAGTCATTAGGAAAAGGCAGGTGTTAGTAATAGGAGATTTGATCATTAGAAACATAGATAGCTGGGTTTGTGATGACCGGGAGAACCATATGGTGACTTGCCAGCCTGGTGCGAAGATTGCGGATCTCTAGGGGCATCTAGATAGACTTATGTGTAGTGCTGGGGAGGAGCCGGTGGTCGTGGTACATGTAGGTACCAATGACATAGGGAAGGGTAGGAGAGATGTCCTGGAGGTCAAATTTAGGCTGCTAGGGAAGAGACTGAAATCCAGGACCTCTATGGTGGTTTCTCAGAAATGCTCCCAGTTCCACGTGCAGGGCCAGGTAGGCAGGCAGAGCTTCAGAGTCTCAATGCATGGATGAGATGATGGTGTAGAGAGGAGGGGTTCAGATTCATTAGGAACTGGGGAAACTTTTGGGATGGGGGGAGCCTATACAGGAAGGATGGGCTCCACCTAAACCAAAGTGGAACCATACTGCTGGCACTTAACATTAAAAAGGTTGTAGAGCAGTTTTCAAACTAGGAGATGGGGGAAAGCCGTCTGCTGCAGAGGAGCATGTGGATCGGACAGAGACTTCTCTTAGAGGAGAGTCTATTGATAGAGATTCTCTAAGTATTAGTCGGGAGGAGAGGATACAAGAGGATAATGTAAGGGCCAGATCAGATGATAAACATTCACATAAAAAAGAATCTGACACATCAGAAAGGGGCAGACAAATAAACAGTGACAAGTTGTTAAAGTGCTTGTACACAAATGCTAGAAGTCTAAAAAATAAGATGGGTGAACTAGAGTGCCTCGTGATAAAGGAGGATATTGATATAATAGGCATCACGGAAACCTGGTGGACTGAGGCACTCAATGGGACACAATCATTCCAGGGTACAAAATATATCAGAAGGATAGAACAGGTCGTGCGGGGGTGGAGGTGGGGGGTGGCACTATATGTAAAAGAAAATGTAGAATCAAATGAAGTAAAAATCTTAAGTGAATCCACATGTTCCATAGAATCTCTATGGATAGTAATTTCATGCTCTAATAAGAATATAACATTAGGGATCTATTATCAACCACCTGACCAGGACAGTGATAGTGATGATGAAATGCTCAGGGAAATTAGAGAGGCTATCAAAATTAAGAACTCAATAACAGTGGGGGATTTCAATTATCCCCATATTGACTGGGAACATGTCACCTCAGGACGAAATGCAGAGACAAAATTTCTCAATACTTTAAATGACTGCTTCTTGGAGCAGCTGGTCCGGGAACCCACAAGGGGAGAGGCAATTCTCGATTTAGTCCTGAGTAGAGCACAGGAGCTGGTCCAAGAGGTAACTATAATAGGACCACTTGGAAATAGTGACCATAATATAATAACATTTAACATTCCTGTGGTGGGAAGAACATCTTGACAGCCAAACACTGTGGCATTTGTGGAACTATGCAAAAATGAGGGGGTTAGTTAAACAGAAATTAAAAGGTACAGTGACTAAAGTGAAATCCCTGCAAGCTGCATGGACGCTTTTTAAAGACACCATAATAGAGGCCCAACTTAAATGTATACCCCAAATTAAGAAACACAGTAAAAGAACTAAAAAAGACCCACCGTGGCTTAACAGCCATGTAAAAGAAGCAGTGAGAGATAAAAAGGCATCTTTTAAAAAGTGGAAGTCAAATCCTAGTGAGGTAAATAGAAAGGAGCATAAACACTGCCAAATTAAGTGTAAAAATGTAATAAGAAAAGCCAAAGAGGAGTTTGAAGAACGGCTAGCCAAAAACTCAAAAGGTAATAACAAAATGTTTTTAAAGTACATCAGAAGCAGGAAGCCTGCTAAACAACCAGTGGGGCCCCTGTATGATCGAGATACAAAAGGAGCGCTTGAAGACGATAAAGTCATTGCGGAGAAACTAAATGGATTCTTTGCTTCAGTCTTCATGGCTGAGGACGTTAGAGAGATTCCCAAACCTGAGCCGGCTTTTGTAGGTGACAAATCTGAGGAACTGTCACAGATAGAAGAGTCACTAGAGGAGGTTTTGGAATTAATTGATAAACTTAACAGTAACAAGTCACCGGGACCGTATGGCATTCACCCAAGAGTTCTGAAAGAACTCAAATGTGAAGTTGCGGAACTATTAACTGTGGTTTGTAACCTGTCCTTTAAATCGGCTTCTGTACCCAATGGCTGGAAGATAGCTAATGTAATGCCAATATTTAAAAAGGGCTCTAGAGATGATCCCGGCAATTACAGACCGGTAAGTCTAACGCCAGTACTGGGCAAATTAGTTGAAACAATAATAAAGAATAAAATTGTCAGACACATAGAAGAACCTAAATTGTTGGGCAAAAGTGAACATGGTTTCTGTAAAGGGAAATCATGTCTTACTAATCTATTAGAATTCTTTGAAAGGGTCAACAAACATGTGGACAAGGAGGATCCAGTGGACATAGTGTACTTAGATTTCCAGAAAGCCTTTGACAAGGTCCCTCACCAAAGGCTCTTATGTAAATTAAGTTGTCATGGGATAAAAGGGAAGGTCGTTTCATGGACTGAGAACTGGTTAAAAGACAGGGTACAAATGGTAGGAATAAATAGTAAATTTTCAGAATGGAGAGGGGTAACTAGTGGTGTTCCCCAAGGGTTGTAGGACCAATCCTATTCAACTTATTCATAAATGATATGGAGAAAGGGATAAAAAGTGAGGTGGCAAAGTTTGCAGATGATACTAAACTGCTCAAGATAGTTAAGACCAAAGGAGACTGTGAAGAACTTCAAAAAGATCTCACAAAACTAAGTGATTGGGCAACAACATGGCAAATGAAATTTAATGTGGATAAATGTAAAGTAATGCACATTGGAAAAACAATCCCAACTATACATACAATACGATGGCTGCTAATTTAGCTACAACAAATCAGGAAAAAGATCTTGGAGCCATCGTGCATAGTTCTCTGAAGACATCCACACAGTGTGCAGAGGTGGTCAAAAAAGCAAACAGGATGTTAGGAATCATTAAAAAGGGGAGAGAGAATAAGACAGAGAATATATTATTGCCTGTAGCAGGGTGGTTACCCGCTCCTGCCCAGAGGGGTTTAAAGACAGCCCTGGGAGAGGGCTGGGGCAGGGGAAAATCTACTAGGCTGATTGGGGAAGCAGCTGCAGCTGGGCCACACCCTAAGCAGGCCTGAGCTGGCCCTATAAAGACAGGGAAGCCAGGGGCAGACACAGACTCTCTCTCTGCATTCAGAGAGAGAAGGGCCTGGCTGCAGGGAGCTAGAGACAGGGTACCTGAATGGAGCAAGGCTGGGGAAAGGCAGAGGAGCTGGGGAACTCCAGCCTGGAATTCCCCAGGCTGCGGCCCAGCATTGGGCTAATAGGTACTGGGGGTTGCAGAGGGCAGCCCAGGGGTAGGCAAAAGTAGCAGGTCCAAACCCAACCTTGCCTGTTATGAGTGGCGTATACTGCAGTCTGCCCCAGGGAGTGGGGCTAGATAGTGACTGGCAGTAGCTTTACACTGAGGCGAGGCGAGGTGGGGTTAGTGGGTGGGGGTTCCCCTGGGTGGGGAGACCCAGAGTGTGGGGGTACTGCCAGAGGGGCAGCACCCCAGCTAAAAGGGCATTGGAGTGCAGGGAGGGACACGGGGGCCAAGCGGTAGTGGATCACCGACCTGCAGAGGGCGCTTCTGAGCTGGGATGAGCTAATTCCCATGGACAACCAGCAGGAGGTGCTGCAGGGGTGAGTCAACTCCCTTACATTGCCCTTATATAAATCGATGGTACGCCCACATCTTGAATACTGCGTACAAATGTGGTCTCCTCATCTCAAAAAAGATATACTGGCACTAGAAAAGGTTCAGAGAAGGGCAACTAAAATGATTAGGGGTTTGGAACAGGTCCCATATGAGGAGAGATTAAAGAGACTAGGACTTTTCAGCTTGGAAAAGAGGAGACTAAGGGGGGATATGATAGAGGTATATAAAACCATGAGTGATGTGAAGAAAGTAGATCAGGAAAAGTTATTTACTTATTCCCATAATACAAGAACTAGGGTCCACCAAATGAAATTAATGGGCAACAGGTTTAAAACAAATAAAAGGAAGTTCTTCTTCACACAGCACACAGTCAACTTGTGGAATTCCTTACCTGAGGAGGTTGTGAAGGCTAGGACTATAACAGCGTTTAAAAAAAAGAGAACTGGAGAAATTCACAGAGGTTAAGTCCGTTAATGCCTATTAGCCAGGATGGGTAAGGAATGGTGTCCCTAGCCTCTGTTTGTCAGAGGGTGGAGATGGATGGCAGGAGAGAGATCACTTGATCACTACCTGTTAGGTTCACTCCCTCTGGGGCACCTGGCATTGGCCACTGTCGGTAGACAGGATACTGGACTAGATGGACTTTTGGTCTGACCCAGTATGGCCATTCTTATGTTCTTATGTTCCCCTGGTCCCAGGCTGCTGCAGCAAGAGAGGGCTGGGGGGAGTCCTCTCTTCCTGCTGCAGCACCAGAGCAGCCTGCACCCTAAACCTTCATCCATGGCCCTACCCCACAGCCAACACCCCCAGCCAGAGACCTCACCCCCCGTACTCCAACACTCTGCCCCAAGCCCTAAGCCCCCTCCTGCACCATGAGGCCCTCATCCCTGGGCCCACCCCAGATTTCTAACCCCTAGCCAGAGCTCTCATCCCCCACACTCCAACCCTCTGCCCCAGCCCTGACCCTGTCCTTCACCATGAGCCCCTCATCCTCAGCCCCACCACAGAGCCCTCACCGCTAGCCAGAGCCCTCAGCCCCCACACTCCAACCCTCTGCCGAACCCTGAGCCCCC